AGACGACGTATGTCATTGTATGTCGGGATTTGTACCGTCACTCGTGGTTTGTATTCTGGAGGGTTCAAAAGATCGTAGTTCGAGTCCTTGGCAATACAGGTGCGATGATCGTGATCTATAACGAGACAATTGTGTGATAAGAAGGGACCTCCGAGGAGGAGAGGAACAGGGAGATTCGGTGCGACAATCGCCCGTATCGTGCGTGAAGTCCAATCATTATTAACTGACGAGGGAGACAAAACTGTCATGCCACAAGGTGGCAGAAACGCTCCCGCCATGCATCAACGTCGGATGTTCATCGCCTTACGTGGTCTGATCGGAAAAATATGCCATGCATATCTGGATGACATAATCATCTGGTCGCAAACTGTCGCCGAACATGCGAAAAACGTCAAATTGGTCTTGGACGCACTGCGCAGTGCCTGCCTTTTTTGCTCACCGAAGAAGACTTCATTGTTTTGTACAGAAATCGATTTCCTCGGCCACCGTATTTCAGCCGCTGGGATCGAGGCCGACGCATCTAAAGCAAAACGAATACTGGACTGGCCCATACCTAAGTCTACCGGCGACGTAAGGTTGTTCCTGGGACTCGTACGATATCTGGATCAATTCTTACCCAGTCTTGCGGATCACACTCACCTCTTAACGCCGCTGACAACGAAAATCGCAGAACACGAATGGCCCGGTTGGAACGACGAACACCAAATGGTGTTCGACGCAGTCAAGCAACTAGTCGTCAGTAGAGACTGTCTGACCACTATAGATCACGATAATCTCGGAACGAACAAGATATTCGTGACCTGCGATGCCAGCGACTGGTGTGTGGGCGCAATGCTGAGCATCGGGCCCACGCCACAAACGGCACGCCCCGTCGCATTCAATTCCATGCAACTACAAGAGGCTCAGCTTAACTACCCGGTCCATGAGAAGGAGTTGTTGGCTATCGTACGCGCACTTAAAAAATGGCGAATCGAGCTGCTCGGGACACCATTCACGGTGTACACCGACCACAGAACACTCGAAAACTTCCTCACCCAAAAGGAGTTGTCGCGTCGACAAGCTCGCTGGCAGGAGTTTTTCGGTCAATACGACTTCGATATTCAATATATCTGAGGCGAAGATAACTCCGTAGCGGACGCCCTTTCGAGACTGCCACCTGACGAAGACGTAGTACCGACCTACGTGAGACAAACAATAAACATGCCCGCACATCCCCAAAAGAACATAGCGCCTATCGCTCTCGTATTGTCAATCACCACAGACTCCTCACTCGTCGACGACATCAAGTCTGGATACCAAACGGATCCATGGTGCGTAAAGCTAACGAAATTAGTAGACTCACTTCCAGGTTTACGACAACAAGATGGTCTACTATACCTCAATGACCGTCTCATCGTGCCACGTGTCACCCATCTACGCAAAACCATCTTTCGACTTGCGCACGACGAACTAGGGCATTTCGGGGCCGATAAATCCTACGCCAACATACGGGATTCATATTATTGGCCCAATATGCGACGAGATCTTGAAGAAAGCTACATACCTGCATGCACCGACTGCGCGAGAAACAAGAGTCGAACCACAAAAACCGCCGGTCCACTTCATCCCCTACCGATCCCAGATCACCGAGGCGACTCGGTCGCTATCGACTTCATAGGCCCACTACCATCAGAACAAGGTTTTGATGGGATCATGACGATCACGGACAGACTTGGCGCCGATATCCGCTTAGTACCGTGTCGAATGAACATGAACGCGAAGGAGGTGGCGAATCTATTCTTCGACCGGTGGTACTGCGAAAACGGACTACCTTTAAGTATCGTGTCAGACCATGATAAAGTTTTCACCAGCAAATTTTGGAAGGCATTGCACAGACTAACCGGTGTAAAACTAAAGATGTCCACAGCCTATCACCCACAGACGGACGGATCGAGCGAGCGCACAAACAAGACCGTGGATCAGGCACTCAGATATTTCGTCGACCGCCATCAAACCGGATGGGTAAATGCCCTGCCTTGCGTCAGATTCAACATCATGTCGACAAAAAATGCATCAACAGGTTACGCGCCTTTCCACCTACACATGGGCCGAATTCCACGACTTCTACCCCCACTAACACCACAAAACATCGACCTCGTGCGCGAAGACTTCCCAAATGACATCACAAATGCGCTCGAGATCATCGTATCCTTGAAAACCGATGTCGCAGATGCACACGACGCACTGCTCGCGTCTCGAGTTGCACAAGCAAATGCCGCAAACGCACATCGCGGGGACGAACCTAACTTCAAAGTCAACGATCTTGTGTATCTTTCGACCACTCACAGGCGACGCGAATATCTAAATGGTGACAACAAACGTGTAGGCAAGTTCATGCCACGTTTTGATGGACCCTACAGCATAGTGTCTGCAAACCCTGAGTCGTCCACATATACTCTAGACTTACCAGAACACACTAACGTTTATCCCACATTCCATGTCTCTGAACTCAAGCGCCATGTACCCAACAAAGCTGAACTCTATCCTTCGCGAGAACTCCAACGTCCTGGACCAGTTGTCACGCAGAATGGAACAGAGGAGTGGGAAATAGAGAAGCTCTTAGACCGCAGAACGCGCGGACGAGGACGCCAATATCTCGTACGATGGCGCGGTTACAGTCCCGAAGCCAACGTCTGGGTGCCGGGCAGAGAGCTGGAAAACACCAACATGCTGAAAGAATATCACCAGTCCCACGACTTATCTCCTGCAAACACGACGTCCATCGAAGAAGACTCACAACATACAGCATCTCAAACACCGTCTGATGAAAACAAGCCGCAACAAGCGCCAATGGACTGAAGAACAAAAGCCGCATCACGCGCATTCGCATGACATGTTTCATTAATAAGGTGCGTTCGATCTCCGTTAGCGGTCCTAGACGAGGTGACGAAGCGTTGTATGATTTCGAGGATGAGGATGTGGTTTTAACGGTGGAAGTCGTGTTACGTTTAGACGATCTGTGTATCTCCTCAGCAATCTTCTTGTGAGAAGCTAAGTCCTCGAGACGTTCGTCGTCGAGGTGCTTAACCTCCTCAATCCAATTCTTCAGAGTGAGATTGTCAGCGAGTTTAGCTCTGAGTACCGGAACGGTGAGTTCATCGCAGAGATTAGCCTCGAGTTGGCTTCGTAACTGGTCGTCGGAGAGGTGCGTTGGGTTTCCGTAAAGTAGCGCGTTTAGGCTTTGGATGTCTAAGGCCCATTCGTAGAACGAACGGCTGCCTTGTTGAGAGCCTAAGACCTTCTTGCGTAGCTTCGTGGCCCAGTGACTTTCGAGCCAAGCACTCCTGAGAGCGATCATGTAGTCTGCGAACGTTCCTGTGTCGAGTACCGCTCGTTGGGTCAAATACCAGGTGCGTAACCGTGGATCTGTCATCCCAGACGCTATCATTTTGACCTGATCAGTGGCATCGATTGACTTGTGTAGGAAGTACGTTTCGCAGGCGTTTTCCCAATCACAGGTGACTTGTGGTGTGATTTCGCCTGTTGTGAGTCTGGGTGGTTTGTTGGGAGCGGATTGCTCAACGATAGCGGACTTAGTCATTTTGCGGGAGCGTGAGGGGGGTATATGCGTCGAATTTGTTTCTGAATCTGACGAGGAATCAGAATATATTTTGTGTGAGACGGCACGTGTATTAGACGTGGTGTCTGAAGGTATTGGTGTCAGGGGAGATAAGGATGGTTCAGGGGAGGGGTGTTGTCTATGGTTCCTTGCACGCTGTCGCGTGGTCAGGGACGTCGAGACAGTAGGTTTTCTTCTTTCGGAAGGCAGTTTGACGGGTCAGGGAATGGGCGGGTAGCCCGGCGGGTTGAGAAATAGTCGTTTAGATAATCCAAACAAGTTTCGTTTCTGTTAAAAAAAAAGTGGAACCTTGTCCGGGAGAACGACAAGGAACACTGAACGGATCGGGCAAAGGTAACAGGACGAAGCTGTGGATTCTTTGAGCGTTGTACTAATGAGTATGTGATGGTAGGTAGGAGACCCGAGTCTGCCCTTCGTAGTACAAGGATCGAGGAATATAAGGGGATGAATCACGTGAAGTGCGATAATGTAAGCGTATGGTAAGCAATCGGCTTACAATTCTCTGCCTAACAATAATCACGATAGTGGCTCCACGCTGAGTCATCCGCCAGTAGAAACGGCATGCAAGTGGCAACAATTGCGACACCAACATCGGCAGACCGTAGCATAGACAGTGACATCCGGAAGATGCAAGTATGTCGAGGATTTGAAGTGCGTTCGAAGTGCGCACGACTGAAAGTCAGGGGCGTGACATCCACCCGGATTGTGACAGACTCTAACACCATCAAAGACAGCCGATATGGGGCGGTAGAGGGGAATACATTTGAGACAAAGTTCGTGGTGAGCTGAAAGGGAAGATTGCAACCACGAACAAAAGAATCGGACAGTGGTAAAAGTATGGGCATGTTATTTGGGGTAATAGAGCGCATCATAGTATAGGGGGTACAATTGCATGTCATGGAGAGTGGTATGAGGGGGACAAGCGTTGGACTCGAGGACTCGAGCAACGACGGATGACAACTTGCACGTACGGTAGTATGGAACAAGAAAACTTGAGATGCGTCAATATGTGGTATCACGTCGCGCGCAAGGCATGCTTAAAAAGCTCTTCTGACGGCCGTGAGACAACATAAAGCAAATCAACGGGCAAGGAACCATAGGGACAGGACAGGATCAAGGGGTTGTCACAAAGCTGCAATTGTGCACGACGTGATCAAAGCAATGGACCAGGTGTCTTAGGTCTAAACCATCGCGGTAACCGATAGCCACCTAAGTTGGGAAATCAGAACGAGCACAGGTTGAAAAATGCAGGAGAGATAATGCAGCTTTGCCTCGCTGGAGCATGAACTGAATCAGCGTGTATCGTTATAGTTGATCATGTACGCAGTGTACGTCTGAACTTGTTGGAAGTTGGCTTGAAAGGTCAAAGTTGAAACTTTGGAATCGGAATCGGAGTTAGAAAAATGTCTCATCACCGTCACCCACGACGACGAACACCATAAGCTCATCGTCCTCGATAACCACCCCCTCTGGCAATAGACATTATGCGCCAGTCAGTCGCACCGAGTCGTATTTCACATGCCGCATCCCTAGCATCGCAGGCCAATAATGCAGCCGCAATATCACGTTTGCAGGAGAAAAAGAAAGAGTTCGAGGCTGTTGCTGCGCTAGAACGTGCTAGTGCTCTCTTCCTGAAACGCATAGAAGGTCATGCAGATGACTGCGAGGTCATGGCTGATGCTGGCCAAGGTATAAATTCTCGAGTGATCTTCAATATCTATCATTGATCTATTTTAACAGTACATGGTCAGGTGCTCGAGCAGTGGCCTCTCATGTTCCAAACGTGGAGCCTATTCTGTGAGCAATGTTCAATCTACATGAGCTTGCAATTTTAAACTGATCATCCTGCAGTAAATAGCCGTGAACAGCACCCGGCGGACTCTAGTGATGACACCGCACGACTTACTGGAGAACGGCTTGTCCGTATTCCACTCGACGAACTCCAGACTGATGTGTCGAAGCAGTCCTTACCACGCATCACCGACGTCGCGTTTATTCCACTTTCGACAGCGCACACATACCTGATGCTTTACACCCGATTTCGCGTGGCATCTGCCCCTACCACCCCTGCACTCAGAGACATCGGAACACGCCCATCTGCGATGACCTCGGTATAGTTGGCAAGGACAGGTTCATGCGCAATCCATGCCAGCGAATTTTCACTTCACTTGCGGACGGTTAACTCGTACACTCAACGCAGATCGCTTCCTCCACTTGCATCCACATGCCGCGCATTTGATATAGTACCGCTTCAACGTGTCAAAGCGCCCACTAGAGACACTGGAGCTGGCTAGTTACTGTCTTCGCTGACGGTGCTAACGACACTATCACATGTCAATGTTGGTATCGCCATTGAGGGTGGGCTACTCGTCGGCCTAACAGAAGGGAACAGGTACTTCTCAAACCTACAACTCTCTGCACTCGTCTTCGCCGTTCCATGGGTCTTCAGATGGATCCTCACCTTTGTAAATCCCAGCGGCCTCGCTGCACTCCCCGTTACCGTCGCATACTGGAACGCAGCTAGCATGTACTGGTCGTTGCCCGGCAAAGACCTCGAGGACTATATCACCATCAACGACCCGCAACATGGCTTAGCGGACACCATCAATACGCGTGGATAATGCTGAGACCAGAACATATCTTACTCTGTTAGTTCAACAAAGCAGTAGGGTGCGCGTTCCGTCATTATGAAATGGGTGAGTACTTCAAGTTGATATCTTAACTAATTCTTTCAAATTTTCACTCGGGTCGCAACTCAGGCCAGAGTCAGGTCAATGCCGCGGCTCTGAAGCAAAGGCGGGCTGAACATCACTCATAATGACACTTGAACATTCCCGAGTTATTATTGCAAGCTTCCATGGATTTCATGGACCCCCATCGAGAAGACTCATTCAGAATCCACGATCCAATATTTGTCGCTTCGGCGACTCAAAATTTGTGAGAGGAACTGACTACCCGTTGGGTTCAGGTATTGGGAGTCTAAGTACAGAGGGGCCTATTCACAACTGAACTCAATGGTAAACTACATAATACAACGTTGGTGACATACCAAAAACCGTTCTGGCAGAAATCTTCGGTTCCTTCATTGGTTCAATCTGCCTTTATTCTACACATGCAACTGCTCTCTTGTCAGACGGTACAATATATGTGCATATAAATGAGTAGTAGTGTCAAACCAGTCAACTATGAAGCAAGTCAGTCAACACGGAACACAAACTGCATGCTGGGTATGGAATAGGTAATGAATCATACAATACACTCGATATCGTATTGTATCTAACACATCGCAAATGAATTCCGTGAATGAGATCATCGTAAAGAAGGTCTACAAGAGTCGATGTTAGCAGTGGCAAGTGACAGACAAGGCCATATACTCACTCAGCTCGGCAATTCTGCCAGTATCGTCCATGTGCCATGCAACTCAAATCAAGCTCAACAGGTGCTCTGGGTATTGTGAACGCAGTCCGAGGTGAATAGAATGGGTGGCGGGAAGCAGGTGGTACCCAAAAAAGGAGACGGCCTTTGGGTCCCATCATCCATCCGTCAGCTGTCAGGACAAAGGAGGTCGACCTTCGGTCATCAAGGGAAGTGCCTACAGCGAGCTCGGCAGTGTCGGACAGTGCATGATTTGAGTTGGATGAGAAACAAATGAAGTTGCTACTCCAAGGATGTGTTGAGACCACAGTGCTGTCCTCCGTGGGAACCGTGATTTGACATGTATCCAGGGATGTGATCTCGGCGCAATCTTGCAGTGGCTGCCCAACTGCAGCATACCAGGCTCGAACAGTGTGATCCCGAGAATGAGATACAATGCAAGTGCCATCCGGTGAAAACGAGAGTGACTTAACTTGATCAGTGTGCCCTCGGAAGGGCTCACCAACTGGCTGCCCCGTCACTGCATCCCACAGCCGGACAATTTCATCCGAAGAAACAGTTGCGATTCGAATTCCATCCGGCGAGAACAAGACTGAATGCCCTTGCAAGGGCTCACCAACCGGCTGCCCCGTTGCTGCATCCCACAGCTGGACAGTTTCATCCCAAGAAGCAGTTGCAATGCGAGTGCCATCCGGCGAGAACGAGATTGAATGCCCTGGAAAGGGATCACCAACTGGCTGCCCCGTCGCTGCATCCCACAGCTGGACAATTCCATCCGAAGAAGTAGTGGCGATGCGAATTCCATCCGGCGAGAACGAGACTGAATGCCCTGGCAAGGGATCAACAACTGGCTGCCCCGTCGCTGCATCCAACAACTGGACAATTCCATCCCAAGAAGCAGTTGCGATGCGAATTCCATCCGGCGAGAACGAGACTGAATGCCCCGGCAAGGGCTCACCAACTGGCTGCCCCGTCGCCGCATCCCACAGCCGGACAATTTCATCCAAAGAAACAGTTGCAATGCGAATTCCATCCGGCGAGAACGAGACTGAAAGAACCAGATCAGTGTGCCCTCGCAAGGGCTCACCAACTGGCTGCCCCTCTACTGCATCCCACAGCCGGACAGTTCCATCCGAAGAAGCAGTTGCAATGCGAATTCCATCCGGCGAGAACGAGATTAAAAAAACCGGATCAGTGTGCCCTCGCAAGGGCTCACCAACTGGCTGCCCCGCCACTGCATCCCACAGCCGGACAGTTCCATCCTCAGAAGCAGTTGCGATGCGAATTCCATCCGGCGAGAACGAGACTGAATGCCCTTGCAAGGGCTCACCAACTGGCTTCCCCGTTGCTGCATCCCACAGCCGGACAGTTTCATCCCGAGAAGCAGTTGCAATGCGAGTGCCATCCGGCGAGAACGAGACTGAATCAACCTTGTCAGTGTGCCCTCGCAAGGGCTCACCAACTGGCTGCCCCGTCGCTGCATCCCACAGCCAGAGAGTCTTGGCATCCGAAGTAGTCACCATGCGAGTTCTATCTGGCGAGAAATAGACTGACTGAACAGAATGAGTGTGGCCCTCTAAGGGCTCAGCAGCCGGCTGCCCCATCATTGCATCCCACAGCCGGGCAGTGTGATCACAAGAACCAGACACAATGCGAGTTCCATCCGGCGAGAATGAGACAGACTGAATCTCACTAGTGTGGCCCAGCAAGGGCTTACCGATTGGCTGCCCTGTCGCTGCATCCCATAGTCGGACAGTCTGATCGGAAGAACACGTGGCGATGCGCATCCCATCCGGCGAGAACGAAACTGAGAGAACAAGACTAGTGTGCCCTCGCAAGGGCTCACCAACTGGCTGCCCTGTCGCTGCAACCCACAGCCGGATAGTGTGATCGTAAGAAGCAGACACAATGCGAGTGCCATCCGGTGAAAACGAGACCGACGCGACCTGATGAGTGTGCCCCTGTAAGGGTTCACCAATTGGCTTCCCTGTTGCTGTGTCCCACAGCCGGACAGTCTTATCCTCCGAACCAGTGACAATGATAGTTCCATCCGGCGAGAATGATACTGAGTTAACACCACCAGTGTGGCCCAGTAAGGGCTCACCGACTGGCTGCCCCGTCGCTGTATCCCACAGCCAAACAGTCCTATCCTCCGAACCAGTCGCGATGCGAGTCCCATCCGGCGAGAACGAGACTGAGAGAACTGAATCAGTGTGTCCCTCCAAGGGCATTCCAACTGGTTGCCCCGTCACTGTATCCCACAGCCGAACAGTCTTATCCTCCGAACCAGTCGCGATGCGAGTTCCATCCGGTGAGAACGAAACCGAGTTAACGCGATCAGTGTGACCCTGCAAGGGCTCCCCGACTGGCTGCCCCGTCGCTGCATCCCACAGCCGGACAGTCTTGTCCCTCGAACCAGTCACGATGCGAGTTCCGTCTCGCGAGAACGAGACCGATGTAACAACATCAGTGTGGCCCCTGAGCACGCTCTGAGCAGCCGCCCAGTGCAAATCACGTCCACGTGCCACACGAAGAGTCTTCGGAAACCCTGCAGTGAATTGTGTGGATATCGCAGAGTTGACCGGAGCGAATGGTAGAGCTGATACATATAGATGTGGTGTGCTGTGCACAATCATGCTGCCGAAAATTTGAACGAATCTCTGCACGTCCATCGCAGTCGACGAGGCATCTTTGTATTCAGAATGCCTCTGTTGTGCGCGTTAGCGTGTCTGACAGTGGTCGATAAACATGTCCTCACCTTCAGCCACTGGGCAACAGCCGGAAGGGCTACAACTGCGCCGCTGAGTGCATTGGTAAGGCCGAGTACTTCGAGCCAGAAGAGCAGTCGCTCGTGGTCAAAAAACAATTTGACTTCCTTTGCTACCTCTATATCGAAGCCCTGCGTTGATACATGCGCAGCCCAGAATCGACAGGCGTAGGATAGGTGTGGGGGAATGCACCTCTCAACTCGTTCTCGCAGCTCGGGATCTTCGGAATTAGGGAGGTATGATGATTTTATACCACATATATTAAACGAAAGTCCATGTGCCATTACTCGAAGTGATGCAAAAGCAAGGTCGCGATGCACCTTCGACACATCGACAAAAAATACCCCGCTGCATAATTGGTCCGTCAGGAAATCACGAAACGATGCGTGAAGGGGCCGGATTGGGGTAGATGGGTCGGTGGTGCCGCTGAGGAGGGGTCCCATGTGTTCTACTATGATCTCCACTTCATATTGGTCTCTTTTGTCTGGAAAATGGTTCCGCATGGCGTTAAGCGAATTTAAAGGGAGGGGTTCGGCTGCGCCAAGGATTTGTCCCATCACGGAGCGGAACCTCACTAGCCGTGTCTGCTGAAACTCCGCGGTTGCATATGTATCCTGTCGCATGATTTCCGTCAGAATGAAGTGATACATTCCATACAGCAAGTGTTCCCGAGAAGCAGGATCGAGAGATACCAGAGCGTTGAAGGAATCCCTTCGGGACATGCCAGCAGGGGGTGCTTTGATGTATTCACAAGCAAGACGCCCCCACTCGAACATGCCGTCCGCTTTCTCAGCTAGGGCTGTGAACTCCTTGCCGCTGAAATGCAGGAGCCCTGCCAGCTTCTTCGATACGTAAGCGTGGATATCGCGCTGTGCGGTGGCTGGTGGAATGTTGTCCATCGAAATGCGTAGAATATGCTGAGCGCCGGAAAACTCGTCATAGATGTCGCGTAGCGGGCGAGAGGTAACAACAATCCGGAAGTTCTTTGGGAGTTCCGTGATTTTGGGAACATCTGGGTCCTGAAGTTTACCGGCAAGAATGCGCAGAAGGTCGCTTCGTGTCTTGGCTGCACCACTCTCGTCCAGTGCGT